TATGCTGTTGGATATGCGGCCAAGCAATAAAATGAATAATTGCGAACCAAACTTTAAAATATCCAAATAGCAATTGATGTGATTTTTTTGGGAAATCAAACGACGACATCGAAAGGTCTAGAAACAAGGAATGTATAATAATGTGCAAGAAATGAATGTAAGTTCACTTCCATAGCCGTTCATCAACACCCCTACTCAGGCATCCCTACGAACCCCGGGTGACTTTTCTAATACAACCTAAATTCATAGGACATTGACCACATCTTCTCAAGTGCAAATTACTAAGCTACATTACGGCGTGAACCCTTCTCTCGAAGGTCGTCTCTTCTCCATAACATGCACATGCAAAGACTTGTAAGTCGGACCAAAAAGTTCCGTCTCATCAAATCCTTACAATATAAATAAAAAAGAGATGAAAAATGTAATCCAGACGAAAAATACATGAAATATATATGCAAATACAAGCAAAATTCTAATATCTAGTAACGGTATAAATAATACAAATGTAAAATTACAACAGGATAACGTACGGCCTTTAATATTATAAAAAAAAAGATTTCATCAAAAAAAAACCCAAAAAATTTAAATCCTCCTACTTGCCGAAGCAAGCAAAGAATTAACGCAATCTCTGCAAGTTTTTCGTCATTTCTTTATTCCCAAAAAAAAATGTGTTGAAGAATACAACAGACGAAACAAAAAAAAATTCCTCCTGATCCTTTATATGTGGGAATCAGTTTGCAGATCTGTTCCTAGACGATCTCTATGAAATTTCTAAAAATGGAAATCTTGCAGAGCGGGTATAAATATTCTATTACCATTTGTAGATCTCCAAAAAGTAAAAACTGCGCCATTAAACTTCAGATATATACGAATTTGTTGGCTTAGAAAAATAAATTTATAGATCTATATTTCTAAAAAATTAAATAAAAATTAACTTACAATTGATCCTTTTAATCTTTAATTAGATATGTAATAAAGACTAATTTTGATCATATACGTGATTTGCTATTAAAATCACTTTACAGATCATATGATTTACTATTCTATAAAATAATGTGATATAAATTTTTATTTTTGGTTTTATTAATTTATAGGTTTTATAAATTTTTATTTTCTTAAGTTAAATTTTCTAATCAAATTTTATTTTAGTTTAATTATATTTTTTTATTAATTTGGATTTTTTTAATTTTTAATTTTATTTTTTATAAATTTTTTATAATTTTTTTTAAATTATTATTAAATTGTCTTAATTATTATACTTGTAAAAAATTTAAATGTATTAGGAACTTATGAAAATTTTGCTAGTCTTATCCTATACCATTTGTTTATAATTTACATTTTATTTTTATATAAGAATAATAATTTATTTGAAAGTTATCTTATATAAAAAACTTTAAATTTTAGATAAATATATTTAGAATATTTTAATTAGTAAATCTTTAATGTTTTAATAAACTTCTCACTAATAATAATCTTAACTATTATTAATATTGATTAATAAATAATCTAATATTATCTAATCTAACCTTAATTCTAATTATAATTTATCCTAATCAATCATATATTGCTTATTATAAATTGTAAAGAATTTATGAACTTAATATTTAATACTTAAACAAATTCTTTATTTTATTGTCCAAAGCATAGCGGAGGACAACCCATTACTAGCCAATTCACATGCAATGTGGTTCTGTCCTGCATATACTGATATCTAATTATATTTTGTGTTACTATGTCACATGTGCATGTGTGATTAATTTAATTTATTTTCATTTTAGATTAACTCGCATCACATGATTTAAGGTCAATAAAAATTTAATACAAAAAAGCATTTATAAACACGTGGTTTTTACTTATAAGCCCAGTTAACTGAAATAATCCCGAATTATCAAAATTATACTTCGGACGTATGATTAAAAAATCCTGTCGATTACTCCCTTCATTTTCTAGTGTTATTTTGTCATAAAAAGATATTTTATTAAGCGTTGAAATGACGCAACCTAAATGAGAAGTCAAGTCACTTAAGATGTCATTTCAATTTATCATTGATATAAAATTGAAATTTCCAAAGCTAATCTTTGTATGAAATGGTTTCTGTACAAATGGCATATATATATATTTCTGTTTTAAATGTAATTGATGAAGTAAATATTATACAGTAATATGAGAAAAGCATATTTCCGGAGATATTAAGATAATAATCCTAAGCTTTCTAGTCAAAATGCTCGGGATTTCCTTAATAAATCTGTCCCAGAGGTTATGTACTAAACCCTTTGGCAATATTTAATAGGAATGTGTAAAAGTGTAAATCCAAAAATCATAGTATTTTTCGTTGTAGATGGGATAAAGTTCAAAATAGCCTTTTAATTAGTCTGACAGATTCAATGCCATTGTAATGTAATATCTACTGATTTTTTCTGCTGATCCTTAGCTTTGAATGTATTTGTTAAAACTAGTGCAACTTTAAAAATTGTATTTTGCAAATCACAGTAAGTTTTTAAAAAATAAACAGATGAAAAAGATATAAATCATAGTCCTTGTTAGATTTTAATTGAAAGTATGTTTTCTTCTACAATATCAAGATTTCATAATTACTTAATAAATGCTTATTTTATCATTTTTTTTCTAAAAAAAACCATCATCTTATCTGCCGGCATAATTTAAGATTCGTTTAAAGAATTCAGAGAATCGTAAATTTAAGATTGGGAAAATCTATCGTCATTTTTAAGGAAATAAGAAAAAACAAGACTTATGTTGTTTTGAAAGGAAATTAGAATGAGTAACCAAATTTTGCAAGTAAAAAAATTAATGTTAATTTTAAATGCTTCATTAATTCTAAATAAATGTCGCTTCGAAAGCTTGAAATATAAACTTGGAAGAAACCAAATATGTTACAAAATCATTTCAAAATAAATAAAACTAGGGGAATAAAAAGGCAGAACAAATTTTTAATAGTATATTAATATATTTTAAAAATAATATTCCTATTTTATTTGTTTTGCGAAAGAATTATTACTATTATTATTACATATTAATTACATATAATAATAAAAAAAAATAATAAAATAAAATAAACAAAGACTATTCGTTTATTATAAAGTGATACAAATCCATTTGCGTAACAAGTTCAAACGAAACCACCAATCCGCATCGACCCGAGTGAGCGGACGTACAACGGATAAAGATGATAATAAGTCCTAGCGGTCCGTCTAAGTCTTTGAACCACCAGTCTTATACAAATGCGGACCGGTCTGCGGTTTTGATTGATAAAGACCAATCGGAAGGACCGTCAGTCTTGTAATTCAGACTTTTAAAAAAATATATTTATAAATATTACAACAATAAATTAGATTATCTTCAAAACTAGTATCAATTATTAAAGCTTCATTTTCAACAAAAGTATCATAAGCGAATTCATTTTCTTCAACTGTTATCAAAGAGATGAACCTCTTTCATCACATCATTTATTTCGGTCATTGTAAAAAGAAAAAAATGAAACGAAATTCAGTCCATTGTCGATCTTTTATTTTTAAAACCTTAATTTTATTAAATATTGTTGTTCAGTCTTTTTTGAAGACCAAAGTTTTACAAAAAGACTGCCGGTCTTTTGATTTTAATCACATAAGCAGAAGACTGCGGTTATTTAAGTCCGGTCTTTTAAAATGAAAAACCGAAAAGACTAGAAATCCTTGAGACCGATTACAACGGGACATTTTTTGTGTTACCGAGCGAGCGTAATATTGTCCTACTGATTTTCACTTTCAATGTAGCTTTTAAGTTCTGTTGCATTTATTAAACCTTTAAAAATTTAGTGCTTAAGAAAGTATTTCTAAATTAAGGACTCTCGTTCGAAACTTCAATGTCTTCTATAAAACGAAACTTTTAGCAATTCTTGTTAAATTTATTTAGTGATTTCTTTTCTCATAATCAAATAATTTAAATTTGAATTTTACCCTTTGTTTGTGAAGTGAATGAATTCTAAAACTTAATCATCAGAAATTTTAGCCTAGGTTCCGGATCGGTCTAAAGGTATTTTTTTTAAATTAAAAAAAAAAATAATAAAAATAGCTAACAAAAATTCTCTATTATAACTTACCTCCAAACTGAAGATACCGGATTGTGTTTTCTACAAAGGTTATGTTAGTTTAAATTTTTTTAAACAAAAAAAAAAAACTAACGAATTATTCAATTAGGACTTATCTCCATGCAAGAATCCAAGTTTTATAAATTCTAGATCGGTTTATCAAAGGTAAGTTAACGTTTTTTTTTTAAAATAAAAAAATTAAAAAATTAAACTTGTCATTAGGGCTTACTTGATCCGAGAGGCTTCGTTCATTAGCGGAATTAACCTTACATCTCGCGACATGAACTGATGGCAGCAATGTAGCACCTGTGTAGCATATAAGGAGTGGTGAGGTTCTTCGCGGTGTATCAATTTAAACATGCTCAACTGCTGGTCTTCAGGGCCGTCTAGACGTTTGGGTTTCAAAGTTGCCTTCATACTCCGCGGGAAGCTTTAATGCCTTCGCTTCTAGGATGAGAGCTTACCCTGTCTATCCGAAGGTCAGAAGGGTCCCAATCTATAGCCTCGACCTAAGGTTTCAAGGTTCTGAACCGTTCTACAAATGTAAGCTGATGTAAGAAAATAAAAATAATTTTTAACTAAAATTTTACTTACCCTCAAAAATAAGTTTCCAAAACTTTTAAGGTTCCGGACCGGTCTACAAAGGTAAGAAGTAAGTGTTAGTGTTAATTTTTTTTATATTAACCAATCTATTATAACTATTATAACTTATCTTTTCCTGCAATGTTCAGGTTTGTAAGTTCGGCATTCGTAAAAAGTATGAGAAACGATAAATAATAAAATAGATATCCGGTCAATCTGATCAATCCACGGATCAACCGCGGATATCCGAGGATCAATTTTTTTCATTCGAAATGTAAGAAAAGGCGAGAAGGCAATTTTTCGGGATTGTTTGCAAGTAACTTTGTGCGTAGCTTCATGGTTCTCTCGGGGGGATTAAATCTGAATCTAATGTATTATCACGTATATCGCCCGAAGACGTCGCATCCTCTTGATATGGTAAACGCAGTTGTTTCCCATAAAATTTACCTGATTCATCAAACATATGAAGGGTTTCCTTATCGTAACTTGACGCTAATATGAATTATAAAATGTCTCTTTAAATTAATGAAATTAGAAATTGACGTTGATGTATTTTTTGCATTACCTGTAGACTTTTAATGAGCACTTCTTGCCAATAGGAAGACAAATTTAATTCGTATGCTCCAGATCCGCCTTGTTAAATAAATTAGATAATTAGGATATAATTAATTTCATTGTTCTTACACCACAACAAACCAAACTGAAACGAACAAAGAGGTTCGCAATAGTGGGACATGAAAATTACTGATAATCCAAGCGCAGGTAACACCTGTTAAAGGAGACTCTTCCGCAGAAATTAATTGCTTTTTTTTCCATAGTCAGCTGACTTTGGGTTCATTTCTTTTACAATAGCAGGGATCGTTTGGTCAAGGCCTTTTTGATTGTCCATATACTGTAGTGAATTTGCAATAATTGTCGGTTTAAAGTTATAAAATCTATGTATGACCTATGAACCTTATTGCGATGTTCTTTCAAGAAACCCTGCAATCCACGCTAAGTATCATCAAGACTATTTCCGGTTTTAAAATTTGCAATAGCAATTACCCAGTTATAATTAATAAATTCACAAATAATTCAATTCTTTGATATCCTTGGACACAATCTTGCGCTGTAGAGACATCTGTAGAAGAAGTGGAAATAAAGAAGGACAACTGTTGAAATGGCTGGAAGTAAGGGTATTAAGGAGATTTTAATAAAAAATGTCACAACGAACGTGACAGGTACGTAGACGGTAATAGAGCGACTTCCTTCTTTTTCAAAAAAAAATTACCCAGTAAAGACGGGTGGCTTAGAAAACAAAGAATGGCCAATGAAAAGTTAGGTAATAATTCATAATTAGTGTTTATCATGAGGATCTTTGAATCCCACAATTTCATATTTTTCACTTTTTAATATTATAAATACAAGTGATATTTGGCAAAAAAAAATTTTTTTTCCTTACTCAACCCAAGATAAGTGAAGAACCATGATAGTAACCTCGGGTCGTTTTATGGTAGCATGGTACCTATCCCTATTTTTCCCTGTTTTAAGGTGTCGTAAACCTTAATAATATAAGTATCTCTTTGAAATGTTAAACTTATATTCCTTTTTTTTTCTTGGTCTACTAATAGGTGGTAGTGGCAGTTTAAAATGGTCTACCAATAGAGGGTGGTAGTGGCTCTATATAAAATACCAAGAATGATTGATAAAATGGTCTACCAATAGTGGGTGGTAGTGACTCCTATTTTTATTGGTCATAATGGTTTTGGCTTAGACCGAGTTGGTTCGATTCCAACAATGACCCTTTAAAAGTTCATAATGAGATGTTTAAATTCGAAATTTTTATTTTTTAAAGTGCATTAGTTTATCTAGGTTTCAGGTTTCGACGGAATATTCCCTTTAAATACGTATTTTTTTTTAAAAAAAAAAATTCAATATTATATTACTAATATTATTTTCGATCGATTATTTTTGATTCAAATTTTAATTGTTATTTTGTTTCTTATTCTGTTAATTCTGATAAGAAAATTATCCTCCTTAAAAAAAACCTTGTAAATAAAGCAAGTTTGTACTTTAGGCGAAGCGTTAGCGTAAAAAAGTTAATCCGTTGTTAATCCTACGCTCAACCGTCGAACTTAGGGTAACGATTACTTGATAACAGGGAGTAATACGTGTAATTAATCTAAGATTACTATGAAATAAGTCTTATCACGATCAACCTTTAAGTTTATCACTTAGTAAATGTTGTAACACGAGTTTTAACTTTGTAACTTTATAACTTTATAACAAAGATA